CACCTCCATTGGGAGATATTGCTTCTCTATATCAGGTACATCCTCCCTCCTACCCCTTTTGGTTCAGATCTGGTTTGGTTCTTGATTCAAGATTGATCCTTGAAAAACATGTTTTTCTAAATATAGGGAATTCGATTCCCTGCAAAGATGGGAGAAATTTTTGAAATTCGTCCTATCCATTCCGCAAGACTTAGGCGTCCATGTGATGGATATCCCATCCCTTCACTAAGATCTCAGCTCGAAGAGAATCGCCTACACCAATAGGACCAAGAAAAAGAACAATGTTTTCCTTTCTCCATCCCTAAAAGTTCCTCCTATTCTAGAAGGTCCCAGATTACCTTCACTACTCCCATCAAAGTTCAGCTTAGTAAAACCAGATACTGGGGGAGACCAAAGGGAGCTAGTCTTGGTTTTAACAGGAGCTGAGGTGGCCACTTCTTTCCAATTTCTTCTCAACATATCTGTGGAGATATTCTCAAATAATTCTAGAGACTTCGCCCAATTTACCACTCTAATAGTAATTGTTTCAATAATGGCCTCCTTATTCCTCTCTTCATTAAAAATCCTTGAATTTCTTTCCTCCCAAATTGTCCAACATATGGCAGCTCTGACACATCTCCAAAGAATTCTTCCCCTCTTCTTTGGCCACCTGAAAAAGGAAGAGGAAAAACAAACTTTGTACATCTGCCGGGGGTGTCCATCTACAACCAAACAAAGAGAAAAACCATTCCCAAATATGTGAAACAAAGGAGCAAGAGAATTAGTAAGTGATAGAAGCTCTCACCATTTGCTTACAAAGGATGCACCAATTAGGTCTTTTTTCTGGAGTAAGTCACAAGCATTACATCTTCCCATAAAGGCTTCCCAACGAAAAGCACCAATCCTTGGGGGAATCAGTTTACCCCAAACTTCCAAAATTGGAAAGTCCATACCCAAGCTATCAGAGGGTTGTGTTAAAGCCTTAAAAAAAAAGCACAAGAAAACTCACTCGAAGGGATCAGAGTCCAAAGTCTACTATCCCTTCTCCCAAGGTCCAACACCACCCCACCCAAGGTCTGAATTAAGGCAGAAACCCGGTTGGCTTCAGCATCCCTAGTGCCCCTTCTCAGACCTAAATCCCAATCCAAACCATGACAAGAATCTAAAGGTACCACAACGGTGGACACTGGCTCATTTTTAAACAAAGAAATGGAATACAAGGAAGCAAATTTTTCTTTCAAACTCACAACTCCCACCCAAATATGTTCCCAAAATTTATCCGGTTTCCAAAACATAGGTCATACCTAATGAATGACAAGAAAGAGGGAAGAATGGCATGTACAGATTTCCAAAGAGAAGCTTGTGTAGCCCTAGTCAAAACTCCAGCATCCCAACCATCAACCATTTACCCATGAATGCTCACAATCACTTTAGCCCATAGCTTGTCCTCTTCCATTGGCAACCTCCACAACCATTTTCCAAGTAAAGCCTCATTAATACTTCCTAAACCCAATCCACCCACCCCCTTACTTTTGGTAACCACCTCCCACCCAACACTATGATCTCTTTTCCCTTCCATAGGTTCCCATAGTAAATCTCTCATCAATTTTTCCAAGAC